TTAGTAGAGACGGGGTTTCACCATGTTGACCAGGATGGTCTCGATCTCTTGACCTCGTGATCCACCCGCCTCGGCCTCCCAAAGTGCTGGGATTACAGGCTTGAGCCACCGCGCCCGGCCTAACAGCAGCTGTTTAGGACTGGTGAGGCCCCCGAGGCAGGAAGCAGAGAGTTTCTGGGGCTGGGTCCTAATCATTTGGACCTGGAACCTACAGAATGGGTGGAGGAATGAGAAGGGGACTGGAAGAGGGAGAGTAATGTTGAAATCTTGGAGGGGGCAGAAGATCTGAAGAAGCCCAGGACATGCCAAGGCGGGTGGGTGCTGCAGAGAAGAGGGGGTGGGAAGAAACCTCTGATGATGTCTGACCCAGAAGGGTGACACAGCTGGGAACTTGTGGCCAGCCTGTCTGAGAGTTTCCGTAAATGATGGTGGAAGGAGAAAGTCAGTGTCTTTGCAAGGCTGGGTAGGTGGGGAGCTTGTTGGATGGCAGCAGGGTCGGGGTGGAGGAGGAGGGGGCTGCCCACGCTGGCTCAGGGTCAGGGTCTGGACTGAATATAGTGTGGAGCGGAGCCCTACAGGTGTTTCTTCTCAGGACTGACACTTCTGGGAGACCCAGACCTGTATGAAGCCACCAAGGTCAAGCCTCTCCTCCTGATATTCTAAGATGGCTGAGCACACCCAGGCTGGGCATGGCCTCTGGAGTCTCAGGATCCCACACCGGGCAACACGCCTGGTTCCTGACTCCTCCCTCCTCCAGCCTCAGGCAACACTGCGCGTGCAGAGGACCTGACATTCCAGGTTCCACTGGTCCAGGCTCTTCCCGGTGAAGATGGGGAAACGCGCTTGTGTTTTCTAGGCTGTCTGACTGTGAGTGGCCCCAGCACCGTGATGGGCACCGTGGGGTCATCCCTGAGTGTGCAGTGTCGGTATGAAGAGAAATACAAGATGTTTAACAAATACTGGTGCCGACAACCATGCTTGCCATTTTGGCATGAAACTGTGGAGACCACAGGATCTGAGACAGTGGTGAGGAGTGACCGAGTGATCATCACGGACCATCCTGGGGACCGCACCTTCACCGTGACCTTGGAGAACCTCACGGCAGAAGACGCAGGAAAATACCGATGTGGGATTGCGACAATACTGCAGGAAGACGGCCTGTCCGGCCTCCTGCCCGAACCCTTCTTCCAGGTTCAAGTGCTGGTTTCCTCAAGTAAGAGCCTCTTTTCTCAGGCATCTGAGGTCGTCTCTGCAGAGCAGCCACGGAAATTCTGGCTCAGGAAAAAAGAACTGGGTCTAGTGTGGTGCATCAGAGACTCAGGACGGAGTGTGTCGTGTGAATGTGTGTGGGAAATATATGTGTGTTTGAGTGAGAGTGTGTGTTAAGTGTGTAAAGATGAGTTGTGTGTGAACATGTAAGAGTGAATGCAGGTGTGAAGGTGTGTGTGAGAGCATGTGCGTGTGAGTGTATGTGTGAAGGTGTGTGAGTGCACATGTGAGAGTGTGTGCAGGTGTAAGAGAGTTTGTGTGTGCGTGTGTGTGAGACAGAGAGTGTGCTAGAGGGCAGTGTTGGTGTGTGGCAAGGATGGGGGCTTTGGAACCTCAGTCTAACTGACCCTCGGCATGTCTGTTTTCAGCGAGATGGGGGACACCAACATGGGATAAGGTTGTCATCCTCTGGTCTTGGTTTATAAAACGCCCGCCTGGCTGCAGAGCGGAGCGTCCACTGGAATGGGGTTGGATGGGGATACTCTATTACTCCAGTCAGGCCTCAGTCTGCCTACGGGGAGATGATCCCAGAACATCTGTCCAGCTGCCTCCTTGAGTGTCCTCTGCTTTATAAAGTCAGAACCATGCAGGCGCCAGGTACTTAGCTGGGAGGAGTCAGGCATAGGGCACTGAGCCTCCGTTCTTTACCCTCAGCCTCCACCACAGGCTCCGGGACTGAGAACTCTGTGAAGACATCTGGATCTCCCACTGGGCCCGGCCAATGCCAAGGGTAAGGTGCACATGTCCCAGTGTCTTTTGCCATTTGTGTAGCTTCTTTCCTAGGGTGGGGCTTCCTAGACAGGTTTCCCACTCAACAAATATTTATTTGTTATGTGCCAGAAACTGATCAAGATTCTAGAGACGCAACAGTGAACAAATGGGCAAGATTGTGCTCTTGAGGAAGTTGCAAATAGGTAGATTTAGACAATGGCCTGATGGATGGATGGATGGATAGATAGATAGGTAGATAGATAGATAGAGATATGATATGACAGATGATAGAGATGGCTGGCTGGCTGGCTGGATAGTCAGAGGAGATAGATGGTAGATGTAATAGGGATGGATAGGTAGCTGATAGATAAAGGAAATATGTCAACTCACGATAATTACTAGGGAGGAAAATAAAGCAGGTGTAAAGAGATAGTGTGACAGGGTGTGTGGGAAGCCGGCAGGGCATAATTTAGGCTGTCAAGGAAATACAAGATGTTCAACGGAAACAAAAAACCAAGAGACTGTCTTAGTTTGGGATTCCCCAGAATCAGGCCCTGAGACAAGGACTTAGGAGTGATTTGTTTACTGAGAGGTGATCTCACGAAGTACACTGAGAGAGCAGGAAGTGAGACCAGGAAAGGGGAAGGTCACTGAGAGGTACCGTAATGAAGTGGTTATCACTGTCGTAACTGGCACTCAGTCCTTCTGGGTAACCTATGAGAGATTGTGTAGAATATTCCTTAGAACTGGAGACAGAATCTTCCAGGCAGAAGGCACTCCTGGGGGCATGAATTCTGTGGCCCATTTGGCTTGCTCTGCACAGGAAAATGTGTGCGCTCCTGTAGATAAACTCAAGCAGAAATGGGGAGCTTGAGCTGGGAATTCCTAGGTGGGACCAAGACTGCCTGCAGCTGCCAGGCGCTCAAGTGGGCAAAGGGGATATGGGTCAGGGCACCAGCAGGGTTTGTTACAGAGGCTCATCTTAGAGACGATCAGGGAGGGCGTCCAACAAGCCCTACAGGTGGAGGGCCTGGAAGGTGGAGAGACGGCACAATGGCCTGTTTTGGGGAGAGAATGCAGCATTTGAGGAGTTGGAATGGGGGCAGTGTAGTGGGACCCACGGGGTGAGGGGACTGGCTGTGGGCTGAGCTTGGATACGTCACTCCTTGGGGTTGAGGTTGTTAGGCAGTTGAAAGAGAGCACCAAAGAGCTGCTCTCGTGATCATATTTAATTTGAGCGAGGGTGGTTGTACAGGAATATTTCATCCTTGAGGTTTTGTTCCCAGCAAGAGCCGAGTTTCTGGAGGCATCGGTGGCTGAGGGATCTGTTCAGGAAGTTGTTTGTGGAGCCAGTTTCTGCCTGGGTTCCCATATCTCTCTTCTTCTCCATCCCTCACCAACCTCCTTCCTGCATCTGTTGGGTCCTGACGCTCAAGTTTAGTTCTGAGCTGAAGGTCAGAAGCCTGTGACCCTCAGCATGGGACTGCCAGACCCTGGTACCCATCAGGCTTGATGCTGATGTTGGGTTTTGAGGGCACAGGACCAGATCTCGAAGAAAAGCAGGAGAGAGGCAGAGCCTGGACTTCTCGGAGGAGGTGGCTCACTGCCGGTCACTCTCTCTGTCTTACAGGTTCAGCAACGTCTACTTCCTGCTCCTCTTACTCCTGAAGGTGCCTCTGCTCCTGAGCACACTCGGTGCCATCCTCTGGGTGAGCAGGCCTTGGAGGACTCCTTGGACAGAGCCATGGACAGGAGAACTTATAATACCCTGTGACCGTTGGTATCCTGCCTGGAGACACAACCCCTCTGACTACAGAAAGGACTTCTGACCCTGACCCTCATATTTCTTTCCATCTTATTGCCAGATACTTGTTAAAAATATAAGTTAAAGTAAAAATGTAGGCTGGGTACGGTGGCTCACACCTGTAATCCCAGCACTTTGGGAGGTCAAGGCAGGGAGATCACTTGAGTCCAGGAGTTTGAGGCCAGACTGGGCAACATGGTAGGACCTCATCTCTACAAAAAATATAAAATTGGCCAGGCGTGGTGGTGTGTGCCTGTGGTCCCAGCTACTTGGGAGGCTGAGATAGGAGGATTGTTTAAGCCCCAGAGGTAGAGGTTCCATTGAGCCGGGATTGTACCACTGTGCTCCAGCCTGGGTGACAGAGTGAGACCCTGTCTCAAATACATAAATCTAAATAAATAAATAAATGAATATATCACATACACAAGAGTATGTATATGAGGCATCTATATAGTGCAAGCACTAAAAATAAACATGTGTACCCACCATTCAGCCTAGGAAATCAATCATTATTAAGACGTTGGAAGCCCTATACGCCTCTCCCTGACCCCATAACTGTCTTTCCCCTACTATCAGAGTTAAACAGTATCCGGACGTTTCTTGGGGTAATTATTCACTTGCTTTAGGGCGCTGAGCAAGGGCCTAGTTGTTTTTGAATCCTTCACGGAGGAAATCATACTGTTGCAAGTTCATCTGCTCATAAATCATATTGGATTGCTTCCTCCCCTGACAGTGGATTACAGGGAACGCCCTACAAAGCCATCCATGTGATAGCTGAGGGAGCAGCTCCAGACAGCAAGTGATATGTGGCTGGAGCCGCCCATCATGAGCTGGGTAATGGGTAATGGTTGGGTTGTTTATCTCCACTTCGGCACAGCAGTGTGTTAGGGGCTCTGAACGGTGGGTGGTTCTCTCCTGAAATGACATGCCCTCGTCTGCCCTGCACTGCTCCTATTGAGGCTTGCCAGGGGTGCCCCATGGCATTCTTATCTTCCACTGAGACGTCTAGCGCTGTGAAGTCAACTAGGTCCTATGGCCCAAATGGCAGGGACATTTTTACCTCTCCCTGGATCTGTCAGGCCAGATCAAAATGGGTGGATGTTGAAGTCACCTAGGAGTCCAAGCAGTATTCAGTATTCCCAAGAGTTTCAAAGAGGCCTGTTAAGCACCATGCTTTTTGCTTAGAGGCTTGAAATGCAAAACAAAAGAACGCAGAGCATGGACTCCTAAAGATGGCACGTATGGGCTAGACCCCTGAAACTCTCTAGGTTTCAGCTCCCTCCTTCTGGTGCAGATGTGTCCTACCAGAGCACCTAAAGCACTGGCTTCTTCCTGCTCTTCCAGCATCCATAAGATAGAGCAACGTGACATTCTGTGGAGTGCCTAATCAAAGTCCCTTTGAACTATGTTGTGACGGAGCAGAAGACTTGACAGAATTCTGGATTGATTAGAAATGTGTACATTACTCTTCTCAAGTGAATAGGAAGCACTTCTCCTCTTCCTTCTTTAAGGGGATGGAAAAGAATGCATCTCCCGCATCCAAGAGCAGCATACCAAGTGCCAGAGACTGTGTTCATGAAGATAGTACATCAAGAAAAACAGCTGTGATTGGACCATCAACTGGTTCAGTTTAAGTTGGTTTACTGTTACATGATGGGACCTCTCTGATTTTTTCAGAGACCAGATAAATGTATTGAGGACATGTTTTAAAATGTACCTGAGGCTGGGTGTGATGGCTCACATCTGTAATGCCAGCACTTTACCAGGCTGAGACAGGCAGATTGCTTGAGCTCAGAGTTCAAGACCAGCCTGGGCAACATAGTAAGACCTCATGCCTACTTAAAAAAAAAATTAGCCAGGCCGGGTGCGGTGGCTCAAGCCTGTAATCCCAGCACTTTGGGAGGCCGAGGCAGGTGGATCACAAGGTCAAGAGATCGAGACCATCCTGGTCAACATGGTGAAACCCC